AGGCGATGAATCGATCTTCAGCAGGATAACGCCTGAGAACCACAAAATGCTTAAATTACATCCCTAAAAGTGCTTAATCAATAATATCTTTGTCCTTTTTCATCCGCCGACATTTTGGGTTTCTTTCAGTGACAGAATCGGCACACTAATGTGTTACTTTGAAAGTAAGTCATAGTTTTATCAGAGTAGTTGCTGCTCTTTTCAAGCTACAAGGGTTGTGATTTCTGTGTTTAAAAAGCATATATGACTGATAATAAATATCAAGTGTTGGATGATGATGTCTGGATCAGTGTGTGGATAAAACCATAAAAAAAACCCCAACTTGACTGCTGTTTTACTTAGTTGTGATTGAACGATTCACCTTGCATAAAGGAATTTTGGGCTCTTGCAAATCATCAGTGAACGTGTGAGGTGTCCTCCTTACGCCGCGCAGCAGGATGCGTGTGATGGAAAGAATGATCTGGGATGTCTCCCAATGAAAACATTTGTCAGCAAAATGAAGCACATGCTGTCTTTCGGCGTTTACAAGCTGGGGCAAGTTATTCCTCTGATGCTGTGAATGTAAATATTTTCTGCCTTGATGTACAGCTGCAAAAGATCCACTGAACTTTCCACATGTCTCTCTCTGGCCACATAAAGGCGCCAACAGCGCCTCTGTGTCTGTCAGGTGTTTCGACACTTAACCAGATCTCACAAATTATATGTGCAAAGGACAGCAAGGTTCAGAGCAAAGCTTGATTTATCAAATTAGTTCCAAGCGTTACGTTTCTGCTCATCATCAAGACAGAGCAAGACGGCAGCAACGGCAGGATGGCATGACCGCGCTGGACGAAGCCACGCAACATTTTTTGAACCATAGCTAGAAACAGCAGTACTGTGACACCGTGCTAAGTAGAAAAGTTCTCGTTACAATGCTTTTTTTCAGATGCCTACAGATGTAAGACATAAAGCTGGTAATCCAAAAGTTTCAATGTGACAGAACATGATTTTTTAGAAGGTAAAAGCTTAATACTGTAAAAACTGTTTCAGTTCACTGCTAGGTCTCTGCAGCCAAAGCATTTATTTATTCCAAGTCTGAGTTCTTTTGCATACACATTTACTTTTTATTTGTCTACATGCAATTTTTTGTGTTATTTTCTTCCCCCAAAATAGAAATATACTTAAAAAATAACAACAAACCAATAAATTTGATACATAGACCTACAAAACACAGAAGGTATATATTAAATAATTTACCATATTTTTCAGACAATAAGCCGCTACTTTTTTCCCACGTTTCGAACCATGCGGCTTAAAGCCCGGTGCGGCTTATAAATTTAAGTTTCCAGTTTTTTAAAAAACCATTGTAGATGCAGCTTTTAGTGAGGTACCCCATAGTCTGGAAAATATGGTAATATTTAAATTAAAAACAACTAAACATGCTCACTTCAATACTGTTTTGCCTCAAAAGGTAAAAAGTATTTTTTTTTAAATCAATAAATAGATCATAAACAATCATGTGACTCTCTTGCAAAGTATCATTATGTAACTGTTACTGTTGTAGTTTCCTGTATTTGCTAGCTGTGCTGCAGTACCAACACTAGCTTATATGCAAGCTAAAACAAATGGATATTTAGCTCTCTAACAATGCTACAGTAAACTTTTTATTATGATCTCTTTATAACAGTGTATGAGTCTTTATCGCTTCTTGGTTGTGTCATTTTTGCTGTCACTGAAATGTCTAAAATGCAACCCTTGAGATCCGAATTAGATTATGTATTTCTTTAAATCAAACCCAAAAAGTTAGCATGAAAATTGTAACTTTTCAACTCCTCTGTTGAGCAAAATGGATTCCTCTTTTCAGCCACCACAAGGGGGAACTGCAGCTCCTGTAGCCACCGTTATGCTGATGGTGAGGATTGGGATTCAGTCTCAGGAAAACAAACACTTTGTATGATTCATTTAAAGAGATATTTACCTACTTTAATCAGTCATCTTTAGATTGACCATGAAAACAGAGCAAGCCAGTAAAGATGCAGATATATATTTGTGGAAACAAACAAAACGCTTTTTTTTCCAGTGTCAAAGGATAACAGGTGCGATTCTCCCAACCGGCTGATCTCTGTACTGCTGACATGACAGAAATTGAGAAAAATGTGTGATTTTTTTTTTAGAAGAGCTTAACATTTTTCTTATTTCATGTTTTTTAAAATAATATCTTGTTTCTTTGCACTATTGTTTTATGTAGCAAAACTAAAGTTAAAGCCTGCAGTTTGAGAAGTTGAATTTGGCCAGAAAGTATCTTTTTTTAAGTTTTACTTTAGAAACCAAATTTATAAAGTAGTAAAGATATATTGGCTTGGTCATGTGCTATAATTAACAGTTCAATTCCACACAACGGTGTATTGAAAAGATTAACAAGTATACTTCAAATTTAAATATTTAAGACTGAATGAGCATGAAAGAAGATCCATGTTTTTTTTCTTTTAATTTTATTCATTCACAATTTAAAGAATTGATTTACCTATTTGAAAAGAAAAAAAACCACAGGGAGTTCTGACACAAAACTACAAGTAAAATTCAAATTGAACAGAAATAATGTATATGAATATGTATTCTGTAATTTTGTATCTATGAGAGGAAAAAAAAGTTGTATTTAGGATTTGGTTAAGAAACAAGAAAAAAAAAATCACAGTATACAGTACATAGATTCCTCCCACAACTTGTACATTACTAAAATGATGTACAGCCAAGGTTAACATCATAAAGCTGAGGATGCAAACAGTGAAAAATAAAAACAGACTCTCTTTTACAAAGCACTGCTGGCAGCCTCAACAACCAAGGAGGTAGCTTCCTTAGCAAGCATCCCATTCTTGAGTTTCCTTTTTCAAATAATTTACATTAAAAATATATATTAAAAAAAAATAAACCACTGAAAGATTCGTACATTTTCAGTAGACAGGAGATCAGGTGGCAAAACCAAACCGAGAATCGATGTGTCTTGTTGTAAGATGCGTCTACAATAATCAAACTCAACACAGACTGGGGCCTAAAGAAGACATGAGAACGTCTCGGTGCTGGAGGAGAGCAGTTCCCTACATTGCCTGAATTCCTGAGCACTCGCATGGCGGGCGCTTGTGGATACATGCTCCGAGGGTGTGACCACCTCAATGCGTGCAGTCATGCTTGAGCACACTAAACATCCGTCAGACTCTGTCACGCCCAGTCTCAACCAGGTCAGGATGAAAAGACATCTACACTTATTCACTTTGTAATACAATAATGCTCTTTTTGTCACATACATAAAAAAAACAAAAAAAAACCTAATTAAGGACACAGTAAGAAATCACCGATAATGGAACTTGTCAGGAGAATAAATATGTTATCTCATACCATATTTTAACCATTTCTTACCATAATGTATACATTTCAAGCCACAAAAAAATAAAATAAAATGTGGATATATGTTGGTCCGTTTTGTTTTATTTGGAGCAGGTTTCTATACTTTCTTGTTGACTCGGCTGGTTGCCAGTCGTTAAACAGCACAGAAAGTTAAACTCGTTCGTGAGTTTAACTTGGATGGAGACTCAATTAAACTGAATTGTACCATAACTGGCAAAGATTATTTAACGAGGCTCAAAATAGACAGAAGATACAGTCAAAGCAACACTATTTCATTACAAAGTCTGGAAGAAGAAGAAAAAAAAAAACAAACAGGATAAAAAGTTCAAAGTTTTAAAGAAGGTGAGATTTTCCTAATTTGACCTAATGAAAGACAGGAATAAAAAGAGAGGCGCTGTTTTGGTGAATGCTTGGATTATAAAGACTTGTGTACTTATTATTCGGAGGCCACCACAAATCCGCCTCCACCCAAACACTACTGTCTGCTTAAACAATAAATAACACGTGTCAAAGTGAACACACACAGTTGTTAAAACAGTGATATCTGCTACTTTTATCACATTCTTAGTATGAGGAGGTTAAAGCAAAAGACTTTCTTTTTTTCTTACAGACTGACCTCCACCATTGCTGCGCCGGTGTGTGACAATCACGTGCTCATTGGCTAGTAGTTATCGATGCTAAATCATTCAACCCTCACAAGGTGAACGTCACCAGGATTCCAATACATTGATCGCTTACGTTTCATGACTCAACTTTCCAGCGTTCTTTTATATTTAATATTGAAGTTCACTGAAAAAAGGGAAATGTAGGAAAAAGCAGACAGGAGGGAAGGAGAAGGTCATAAGGTGACAATAAAGGAAGGACATAAGGAAGAAGAGAAGGGGGATAAAAGACATTAAGAGGAAGAAAAACAAGAAAATGAGGAGGATAGATAGGGAACAAAATGTAAAGACAGAAGGACATAAGATTGTAGGGAAGGAAATGACACAACGAAGAAAAGATGGACACAAAGTGGGAAGGATATAACAAAGAACACAACTTTTAGAAAATGGGAAAGAGAAGTCTGAAAATACAATAACTTTTCCTATTTTGTTTTTCCAACCTCATCTCGACCTGGAAAATGTGTCGGAACCCTGGATCACCTTAAACATTCACACATACACACACAAAACAACCCTAAAAAAAAAATCTAACAATGATTATTACATTTGCTACATTTATATATAAAATCATCAAATTAAAAAAATAAACTTGCTGTGGAGACATGTTAAAATTTGTTGCATGATACCTTAACAAAGCTTATCAGTACAGAACAGATAATAAAAAAAAAAAAATCATTACATCTTTGACCCCCTTTAGCTTGCGTCGTCGTCATGTCAGTTGATCGCAAGAGGCAGGCAGGCACCGGTGGTCAGGTTTTCTTTAGTTGAGCAGTTTGTAACATGAAGTACTCAGTTCATTTCATCTAGAAATTATCTTTCTGCTGGAAATTCCCTTTCAATGATTGGTTGCATCTTTGCTAACAGTAATTACAAACATAAGTGCTTGATGAATTGCAAAGGTAGTTGGCACATTTTCTGTTCTGACATATATATATATATATATATATATATATATATATATATATATATATATATATATATATATATATATATATATATATATTTATATTTAAAAAAATTACATAATCTTGAAGAATCTAAATTCACATGACAGACATATCTGTGCACACTGACGTACTGGAGCACTGAGGCAACCTTAGTCTTTGACTCGAGGTATGTTGTATGAGTAGTGTACAAGAGGAAGTCCTCTGCTTTGGCAGAAGCAGGCTCTGCCACAGGCTTGAACCTGGTCTGAACTGTCTGAAACAAACGAGTCCCCCTCATCGGCGTACTCGGACTGAGCAGAGGGCGTGCCGCTGTCTGCCCAGAACCCCTCGGAGCGCGGGCATATGGCGGCTCCAGCCAGAAGGGTGGGACAGCTGTGAGACTTCACTAAATGTCTGCAGACCGAGGAGGCTGAGGGGGAAGAGCAGGTCCGGGCACGCAGGACTGCCTCGCACTGTTCGCACACAGTCTCTCCACAAAGCTGAGAGTACACACCACAGTCAAAGCCCAGGTGGGAGAAGGATCCCTCGTCTGTGAGCTCAGACCCTCCACCGCCATCGTCGCAGCCGCTTTCAGTGCCGGCCTTCACCTCTTGGGTCAAATCCATGTGACCGCGCAGCCTTAACCAGTCCTCTCTGAAGGCCGGGCTGAAAAACACATACAACACTGGGTTCAAGCACGCGGGGAGGGGGAAGAAAATGAGGGTGACGGACTTGGCGATTTCCGGGCCGCCGGCCGTGGAGCCGGTCAGGAGAGGGGCGAAGGAAAAAGCCGCGACGGGACAGAAGAAGATGCAGTTGGTGAAGATGAGCCAGGCGACATGACGGAGGGCGCCGGTCTGCTCTGGGTCCGCCAGCTCCACCCTGCCGAGGTGGCAGTAGAGCTGGGTGTAAACTGCAGCTGTGAAGAGGTAAGCCAGGGCGTTGAGCAGGACCAGAATGACTGTGACACTGAGAGCCGGACTCTCCCCACCAGCGAACGGCAGGCAGAGGGGAGAAGACGACTGGTCGCTGAAGGTCAGAAGAGGCAGACATGCTCCGGCCGCCGCCAGCAACCCCAGCAGCCCCGCGGCCAGGCCAAAGCACTGGTAACCTCTAAAACACCTGCGATGGCTGCTGCCGTTCCTCCTGGGCGACATCAGCACTTTTCCCAGGATCATCCGGACCGCCATGCTGCGCTCCACGGCTGCCAGCGCCAGCAGCAGCACCGACCACTCCGAAGAGAACACGGCGAGAGCTCCGGTGATCTGACAGCCGGGACCCATCTCCCACCACGCGCCGAACTCAGCGAAGGATCCCCACGTTGCCGCGTCGAGCACGGTCAGAATGCCGACGTACAGGCCAGTGAGCAGGTTGGCCAGGGCCAGCAGACCCATTAGCAGCCTGGCTGGTGACAAAGACGGAGTCAGGTAGTGGGAATAACCGGCGGCTCGGTGAGCGGGCGAGAAGGTGGTCACCAGCACCAGGCTGTTGAAGACCAGCGACACCAGGCAGATAAACCACACTGTCAGACGAATCATCCAGTTCCCCAAGAGGTGCTCACAAGGCTTGAAGGCTCCTGAACACAGAAACAGTTTAGATGCTTAGCAATTAAAATGTAATAAGATCATTTTAAGAATTTTTCAGCATTGTTTCATAAACACAGAGACAAGATTAGAGAGGCTTGACCGTTTACCTGGTGAAGGTGAACAATGCATTATCATTGAGACCTGCTCACCACCTTCTACACCTACAACGGCACAAAAGTAGACATAAAAAAAGAGTGATCAGACTATGTGAATGTGTGTAATCAGCAGAGATGTACACAAATCACGTTTTCAAAGTGCAAGACAAATCCCAAAAAGTCTTTCGCCCCAATTCAGAGTGAAGTTTAAAGTTTCTAATGACTTGAAATGAACATTTTCTAATTAAACCCACATTTAGTGCAGCTCTAACTCTGCATTGATGCTGTAGGTGAATAACTAAATAATTTTTCCTTAAACCTAAATTATCATGATAATTCTGTTTTAAGATTTATAAACAGCCATCCAAAAAAAAACTAACATATTATTTTGAAATTTATTCTAAATTAATATTTACACCATCTAAGAAAAATTATAGAACTAATTGCAAAACCCATTCATGTTGAATTTATAATTTTATCACAAACAATGCTGTGTTTTGGTGTCTTAATAATGACTAACTTAACACGAGTTTACTCATGTCTTCATTTTATCCAGTCTGTCATTGAATATTGCATTAAATATAGTTTGGATGGTTTTCTTCTGACTCTGAGCCTGAGAATTTTTTTTATATTACCGCGGAGTCTTATTTTCTAAATCCAGCTTTAAAACCTTTGTTGTTAATTCTACATAGAGATTTAGTTAAACCAAACCACGTGAATCCATCCTCTATGAGAGACAGCACAAGTTAACACGTCGGCTATTTATTTCTAAAAAAAGACGAGCGTTCATTCCCACCTGTAGATTTCTTCACGTCCGTTTGCTCAGCAGACCTCGTCACCGAGTCGCATCCAATAAACGCGCAGCATTGGTAGGCATAAGGGACAGAGATGGACCTGCAAACAATAATTTAAAATAAGGAATTTAAGAGTCTGTTGTTGATATGGGCACGTCATCTTTAAAAACACTCCTAAAAAGATTATTAGAAGTGTGTGGCTCAGCAAATATTTGGGCTTTCTGATTGTTTTCGCCCAAATATTTGGATGTTTTCCTAGAATAGCAACAAATATGCAGAAAACAGATTTGCCTGGCTTCCTCATTAAATGTTAACACGCAGAGTTGGATTCTGCTTTGCTGTCTCTTTGCATGCAATTTCTCATTTGTTTCCAGGGTATCAGCTAAACTAAACAACAACAGAGCACTCAGTGTGAGTTTATGCAGTGCAGTCTGTATTACTCCTGTGGAGTGCTTGTGCTTTTGTGATACAATTTGTCCAAGTCCTAAAAAACACTCTTGTATCCTTAACCTTGGAAAAAACACACATATCATTACAAAACACATCTCACAGGCTGATAAGGTTGCCTTTCATTAAATGTTAATGTTTCCATTTATAGATTTGTTATTCAGGGGTTTTTTTTCCCTTTCTTTTCCCCTATGTGCTTTGGTTTTTATCACTTTTCAATGACTAGTAACTCAACATTTTATGTTACAATGTATATTTCAAGAAATCAAATACAATACTCTGCAGAAGTCAGTTAATACCTCTTCAACTTTTCCCCCATTTTGTTATGCAACAAGCACAAACATTGACATATTGTTTGTTCTCTGTCAACACAAAGTAGGGCATAATCATGAGGAGGAGGAAAAAAATATTTTTTTACACAAATGGAAATCTGAAAGGTCCTTTCCCTGATTCAATAATTTAATGAACAACCTTTTGAAGCGGCAACACCTCAAAGTCCATCTCTACCAGCTTTCAGAAACTGAGATTTTATTATTTTCTTGGGAAAGTCATATTAATCCAAGCTTGCAGAGGGCATCAAAAGAAATGTAATTACAGGTTTAGCCCATTGTTGCACATGGACATGCTTTGAACAAACTCATTCCATAGTTCCGGTTGTATGTCTTAGGAACGACTGAAAGGTAAATCTTTGCCCATGTATCAAAACGTTTGTAGCCTTCAAGTGGTTTTCTAATTGCCCTCTCTTTAGTTTCATCCATCTTCCCATGAACTTAAACCAGCTTCTCTGACCCTGCTGAGGAATTAATGCCGTCATATCTGCCAAGTCATATTTTCGTACATTTGAAGTTACACCATAGTCTTTTTATTCTGAGATGATGAATTGAACAGAACTCTGTGAGACGCTCAAAAGACGTTGTTATTTTATATTAAATTTAAACTCAAACGTCACAGTTCCACAGTAAATTCTCTCCTGGATGCTTCAAGCGCAAAAGAAAACACGAGTTCATTCTCACCTGAGTTTTGGCAGGTTTTTTGCAGGAAGAACATTTTTCATCTGTGGGTTTCCTGAAAGTTTTAGCTGAATGACGGCACTCAGTCCAGTTGTCGGAATCACAGACAGGGAGTTCATACTCAGATCTCTGCAGAATCGTTTGAATAGATCCAGTTAATGTTTATGAAACATTTGCAAAATGAACAAATCCATGGAGGAGATTTGTAAGGTTTGTACTCACAAGTTGGTGAGTCCAGTGAGACTGAGGAAAGCATCTTTGTGGATAACTCGAATTTCGTTCCTACTCAGGTCTCTATAAATTATCACATTACAAGAAAACACAAAAACATGGAGTAAAATGTTTGTTTTCTTGGACTTAGTTTTTGTTATTCCGTGTCTTAAAGGACTTACAGCAAACGGAGCGCTGAGAGATCCTGAAAAGTATCTCTGTCAATTTGTTGAATGTGATTGTGCTGGAAGCTTCTGCAGATTTCAAGAAGAATTTTTGACATTTATTTAAGGAGTCATTTATTGTAACAACTAACGGTATATTTACAAAAAAGATTCAACTCACATCTCCTGCAGCCGGCTGCAGCCCTGGAAGGACGGTAACTGCTTCACCTCGTTGTAGGACAGGTCACTGTTGAAGAGAAAAACCCAAAAACTTCAATAAATAAATAATTATATAAACTGCTTATACCTCAAAGCAAGGATTCTGCAAATATTGGCAAGTTAAGTTTAATCTTTTTAAGATAAACATGATTAAAATTTTACATTAATTATGAAATAAACGTAACAATATACATATTTTTTTATAATTTACAATAAATATAATGTTACCTAACTTTCTATAACGGTTTGAAAGTTTCTTGATAGTTGCTGACAACAAGCTTCAATTAAGATTCTTTCTTACAACCCAAACCTCCTCAAATAGACACTTTCCTGTAATGATGGAACAGAATAATGTAAAAATAATACCTGAATTTATTTTGAATCTTAAAACCAGTTTAGTCAGTTTAAGAAGCAGAATCATTTCATAGGTTTGTTGGGAAGGCAGAAAGTCTGGAATTAAATTCATTTCAAGTGCTTCCCCTGCATCATGGGGTTTGTAGTTCAGATATAGGATTACATGTGAAATCCTATATCTGAACTACAAAATACAACGCAAGGACATTTCTCCAAAAAGATCACGGGAAAATGGGGGGAAAAAAATGGGCATATTTCAAATCTTTAAGGCTTAAAAAAGATATATGACTTTTAAGACCTTACAGAAGTCATGTAGAAAATATGCTGCTATTAGATGATATGCTGTCACGATTTTTACTGTCACTTAAATGTTATTTTTCATCTCTCAACTCCATTAGATTGGTATAAAATAACACAGTATGCAATTAAACCCAAACTTTTCTAATAAGCATAAATACTTTTTGACCAGATACAAACCAAAATGTCATAGTAGCAACATTCAACTTGGGATGATATAGAGTATTAAAAAACACATTGTTTAAGTAGTAAAAGGTGATTAATTAAGACCACCTTACTATTCAGCAATGCTGCTGTGACCAGATCAACATCGGCATTTAAGACAACCAGAGCTAAAGCGAACAGGAAATCAGAGGATGAAGCCCTGGAAGCCAGACTGGATGATGTGATTTACATCGACAACAGAACTACTCAGAAATGAATGGACCCCCTGCTGTCAGTCTGAGAGAGGCATTTGTAAAGTAGAGCTTCACAATGTCAGCAAAATATGTACTTGCAATACTATTACTGATATTACAATGACAATGTTGATTACAATTAATCATCACAATGTCACCTCCACTCTGTCAGAATCAGCAATTAATACTAAACATCATCATTTGCATCAAGGACAATCCAAAAGGTCAAATTTATTACTAGCAAAAGTTTCATGCACCAGCACCCTGAGTTATAATATCCCAGTTTTTTGCAATTGTAATATTTCAGACACTAATACTGCAATGGTGGCCGTAATTGTATACATTTTCCAGTTCTAAAGAAACGCACAATACTGTAACTGGAAGAGTCTCTTACAGTGTCTGAAGGAACTTGAGATCTTCACACAGATCAGCAGGTATGGATGATATCTTGGTACCTGAGAGGGTCCTAGAGATAAAAATAAATAAACAAAAATCACACTATATATTTGCATCTGAAACACAAATAAGCAGCAAAGAATAAAATGTTGTATTACTCACAGACTATCCAGATTGTTAGTCCATGTGAGGATGGGGAAGTCCTTCATCAGACTGGCACCACGCAACATTCTGCAAAATGCTTATAATTAATACTGGAATATTTATCGTAAAAACTGTGGTATGTGTTGATGGGGATGACACATGGATGCTATAAACCACATATAATTAGCTTAGGACTTGTTTTGATCACAGCTGACTTGAAGAGGTCACACAGATAGTAACTCGTGGTTCAAAGTCAAACTTACAGAGAGCGCAGGTCTGAGAGATTTTGAAAAGCTGAAGCTCCCACAAAAGACAGAGGGTTGTCATAAAAGTGTCTGAAACGAGACCAAAATAAGAGAGGAGAGCACAATGAGTATGGCACCATCTTCTGGACATTTGTTCTGTGCCTTGAACTTGTGTCCTTTAAAGATGAAAACAAATGTAGACTATTCCATTATGTGAGTTTGACCTTACATGGTTCGCAGCATGGGGTTGTTATGAAAGGCCCGTTCTGGAATGGCAGCAATATCATTGCTGTGAAACCCACTGCAGAACAAAAGTCAAGGGACAGCGATCAGATGCTTATCGCCACTGTCAGGTTAATGTGACAAAGACAATATAACGCAAAAGGCCAAAACTAACATGATAAAGCAGCAAGCATAGTTAGTTCCATCAAATTAAAACCAAACAGAAAAAGCCAGAAAATATTTTAAAAATTTAAATAAATAAATTTGTTTTTCCAACTGTTTTAGGTAAAGAAGCCTTCAAACTAACAGCCTGGAAGTTGTTAGTTTGATTGTGTTATTTTCATTGTGCTCTCCTCTCTTATTGAAATTAAGAAGCAAAATGTTCTTCAAAATATTGACATAAAAAATGAAGTACTTGTTCAGTTGCAGATTTCTTTCATTTAGTTTTTTTGTCAAGTATCTCAAACTCATTTTACTACCAAAGATAATGAATCAAAAACAAAATACAGTTTTTAAATGATGGCTTCAATATAAAGTGGAAAACATATCTAGAGCAATCTGTAAACAAGTAATTTCCCCTAAACCAAAAAACATCAAGAGTTTGTTAAATCAGGTAATGTGTTTTCGACATTGCTGTGGTGGTAAACTTTTGGCCCACTGGATGAAAACAGCCACTGGATGAAAACAGAATTGTTTTCATCCAGCTACTGGTTTTCAAGTTTGTTTGAGGTCATGTAAACAAAATCTTCACAAGAACTTTAGTCCAGTCTTAAAGCCATAGTACATAGCTTTTAAAAGAAGTATATTTTTTGCATATTTGTTAAAACTACCATTATGTCATGAGTGTATAATGTAAGAAAGACAATATGAAAATAAAATCAAGCTCATCTGCTTTCTCCCAGTAATAACTGCAGAAATACACCACTCAGTCAGCAACAGCCAATCAGAGCCAGGAGGATCTTGGCGCTGTCAATCACACGTGTGTGCGCACCACTCACATGACCCCCCTTGCTCTTTCCTATGCTACAGCTGGTTCACCACAACATAGACTGCCACGAATGCTAAGGCAAGTTATTATTGCCACTGGTGACAGAGGATAAATGGTTTTCCTATAGTGGTAAATTGTTTCTTTGCCATTAGCGCATTTAGCAGCAGGTTTATAAGCATGACTGATAGCACTAAGACATTCTTCCTGGCTCTGATTGGTTGTTTTTGACCTGGAGCAGTGAATTTCTTCAGACGGCAATAGCAGCACTAGAGAGGGTGGAGGAGCTCGATCTTTTCACAGATCGTCTCATATTTAACTGTAAAAACAAGAGACATTTTCATAATACTTTCACACTCAGCATAAGCCAGAAAACCCTGCTTGTTTTCACTGCATTAAAATGTTCATCTTCTCAAACTTATAGCTCAAATACTAAAGTACTTGTATTTTTTTAAAACGTACAACACAGCAAAAGGGGTTACTCATAGCTTTAATAGCCCTTATCTTAAATCGTTATATACTTACAGTTCTTTCAGTTTGGGCAAGGCCTCTATTGCTTTAGGAAACTCCTTCAAGTTGTTAAAATTAAGATCTCTAAACAGAGAGAGAGACAGAGATATTTGAGTCACAGTGTAAGATTGCTGCAATTAGCTTGTGTCTATGTGAAAATTATGGACTGCCTTTAAGGCAATTTTAATCAAACTTAAGTGAAATGTGGGGAAAGGAAGAGCCTATTAGATTTCAACAGCTTCAGATGGATTTCTTTAATTATCATAACCAGGATCAGAACCATAGCTTTCATAAACACATCCCCTTTGTTCAATAATAAATTTATACATAAACTGATTCCATGATGTGTCTTGTTAAGTAGTTTATTGGATTATGAAAATAAATACAAATGGAAATTTACTTTCAAAAATCTGCTGTCAAAGTGTATTAAAAAAAAAGTCTTAAATGTTTCCAATGGCAGCCTCCAAAATGTCACGCATGAATCATCTAACAAAGCTACAAAATGTCTGTGGTGAAATTCATTTTATTTGATACATTATATTTCATACGCAGACTGATGGTAAACTAACACATTTTTTCCAATATAATGAAACAATTGGTGAAAGTGTGAAATGATCACCATGTACAAAACATTTCACAGTCATTTTACTTTATCAGGATGTTAGACAATTTCTTAAAAAGGCAAATTGCCTTTAAATCTTCAATATTCAAGAAATGAACAACAACAGTTCAATTTCATATTTCTCAGCTGACCATTCAGAGAAGATTAATGTTTTTGTCATTAGGTAAGGCTGTGAGCCAGTAGGAAGTGAACGGTTGGGAGGGAAATTTTGATAAGCATCATGTACTTTGCTCTATTTATCCTAGAGCAATTAAAGGAGGAAGTGGACACAATGATGTCTGAGGACTGTAGCAGAGATGGGTGGGGGAGCTGTTGGCACATACAAACAAGAGTCCAAAAACCCAAACTGACTCAAACTGATACATAAACACACGCAGGCATGCAAGTATACATCTGCACACACATATAAACAAAATACAGAGTAACTGCAGACTTACAGCGTCTCCAGGTTCACCAATCCAACGAAACAATTGGCTCCTATCTCCTTAATTCGGTTGTTATGAAGATGCCTAGAAAAGCAAAATAAGTTGCATCTCTGAGATATTCAACAAGACTTTATAAACTGAACACAAATATTTTTTTAAATGCGGAGCAGGGTCAGTAAATGAAGCATCTGTACTGTATTCGTACTCCACAGCAGAGCTGAACTCACTAATAAATTCAGGTCATCTCTTCCTGTTTATTCTGGTATGTTTATACAAACCTTCACCAGTACCACTCAGTGTGCATGGGTGCTTGGATGTTTGTGTTTGTCCAAATGTGGAACAGCAATAACAACTTTGGTGAAATCACACAGTATCTAATGCAAGCTCCCAATGTGGACGGTGCTGTTTTTCTCTCCGTCTACGAAACACAATAAACCTAATTCAATATCACTGTTTTGGCATTATCATCTTTTTCCACACTGAAACCCCGAAATGTGAGTTTCTCACATTTGCCACCAAAGAAAATTCTGAGTTGTCGCCTGTGTGGGAGATAATATAGAAAAGCTATGGCCTGAAATGTCCAAATATCATTATAGAAGCATGGATCCATCAACCTCCCAGGTTACACGTGTCACATAAGTGGAGGATGTAGGTGTTTTAGCTGCCAGACTTCTTTGAGTGAGATCCTGCAGTCTCACTTAAAAACTGTCCATCCAGTCTGGATGTTAATATTTTGTAATGGCCCATTCTCTTATAGGGGATCTATAGGAGATGCCGAAAGGCCCCAAAGACTTGCAGTTCATCAAATATAAATTGGGTAAAAGAACAAGCAAACTGCACAGTGATAGAGATGTTGTCTTGCAGCAAGAAGGTTCTGGGTTCGATTCCTGGCCCCGGTCTTTCTGCATGGAGTTTGCATGTTCTCCCTGTGCATGCGTGGGTTTTCTCCGGGTACTCCGGTTTCCTCCCACAGTCCAAAAACATGAACGTTAGGTTAATTGACCTCTCCAAATTGCCCCTAGGGGTGAGTGTATGTGTGCATGGTTATGTGTCTCTGTGTTGCCCTGTGACAGACTGGCGACCTGTCCAGGGTGACCCCGCCTCTCGCCCGGAACGTTAGCTAGAGATGGGCACCAGCAACCCTCCTGACCCCACTAAGGGACATGGGTGTAAAGAAAATGGATGGATGGAACAAGCAAAAGGCTGGTCAGCTGATTTTGATTGCAATAATGCCAAGAACACATTTCCACTGGCTATTATTAATAAGGGAACAAATCGTTTTTGACATACAACTTTAATACTATATAAACCTCCGGAAAAAATTAAGAGACCACTTAAAATTATCAGTTTCCCTGATTTTACTTTTTATAGGCATATGTTTGAATAAAATGAACATTGTTCTTTTATTCTATGAACTACTGAAAGTCCAAGCAAAAATTTAGTATTTATTTGCAGAAAATGTGAAATGGTCAAAATAACGAAAGAGATGCAGTGCTTTCAGACCTCAAATAATGCTTGAACACTGACCTGTATTTACACTGCAGGTTGACCAACGATAAACAAAGCCAAAGTGTACTTGATCTAATGAACATATTTAACAGCTTATGCTGAAGACACCAGTGTAAATAGCAAATTACACTTCATGGTCTGATGGTTACACTACTCTGCACACACCCTTCACTATGGCAAACTCTCCAGAGAAACGAGTGAATCACATTGTAAATATTCAATGCCGCAGTGTAAAACCATATCCTAAACCACAATCAGACCCGAAGCTTAATAAGACTTACAGCACAACTAGACTCGTCAGGTTTCCGAAGGCGTTGTCTGGTATATACAAGATCCGGTTGAGTGCCAGAGTCAGAGCTTGAAGATTTGACTGGTGTCTCAAGGAACTGACGGGGATGTCTGTCAGGTGATTGTCATCCAGCCACAGGTGACGCAACTGCTGCAGACCTTCGAAGCTGTCGTCAGGAACGGTTGTAATGTGGTTGGCATCCAGGCGGCTACAGACCCAGAAAAAACATCAGTGGATTAATCCCACGTATATGAAACTACACCGATAATAAACAACGTTTTCAATGTCTTGTTTCCACATGCTGAAATAAATGTATCGATTTTTTAAATGAAGGGTTTCATTTTATGATTTCTGAAGTGCTCAGACTCACTGACGGACATGTTGTCAATTTCCTTTGAGAGCAAAAGCTTTAAAATTAGAATACAACAACAACCTTGATGTTTCTAAATACAGTTTGATGAATTAAAATGAACATAATACTCCCCAATATGATTCCATAAAGCTTCAGATGCTCATGTTTAAATGCTTTAATCACAGTGCTGACTAATTATTACAGGTTTAATATATGTGTCATTTAAATGTCTTTGGGTAACACTTTATTTGAAGGGGTGTGAATAAGACTGACATAACACTGTCATAAACATGACATAACACCTGTCATGAACATGAAGAAGTCTTTGAGTGTTTACGACTGTTGTCATTAAGTGTCATTCGGGAAATAATGACACTTTTAATGCTAAGTTGGCATTTTTAATGGACTTTCAATGCAACTTTTAGAGAAACTTTGAATTAAAAGTGTCATTATTTACCGAATGACACTTCATAACAACAGTCATAAACATTCATAAAGACTTCTTTATATTCATGACAGGTGTTATGTCATGTTTATGACAGTATCATGTCAGTCTTATGCACACCCCTTCAAAGTGTTACCTGTCTTTGAAAGTATTTCAATATTTTTTAGATGTGGTTTGTATGGTTGTAAATATTCTGTTGCAGCTGCTGCTTCAAACAAACATCTTAGCGCCACTGTCAGGAAAAATATGACTGATACCAAACAACACTTCTAGATTGTACACTTGGACACTGCCAGTGTGCTCTGATTGCAGTTAATGGATTACAAAAGTAGTAAAACATTAGAAAGCATTAATCTGTAGCTCCACTGCTTAAGAGCAAGAAAGAACTGTCAAATGTAAGGAGAGTAAAAGTCATGATGCAATCCAAGTTATAGGCAGACCTGTCCACTTCTTTCTTCCAATAATCAAAACCAAATTATGTCCACTGCAGGATCTCAACATAAAATAACACCAAATGTAAATTATATTTAAAGAGGACAGAGGAGATGTGGAATCTTTACACTTGACAGAGATTTCTGATGGACAAACATTTCCTTGAAGATGACTGAACAAAATAAAGTTGTCTTTGTTTAAGCTTTATGAGTGTTTTTTTCACTTGAACCAAGCAGTTTTGTCCTACTATCTTCCCTGAATGTGAGTCTCACCCTCCCTCAAAATTCCTCAAGTATCTGCGCTGGAAGGAAAACAGTCTTGATTGACATTTAGCTATCAAAGGCTTATTACTAACCAAGTCTTTCCTTTAGCATAGCATATTTCTTAAGCAACAGAAACTATGAACGAAAAAAAAAAGACATCTGTTATAGACACGAAAAGGCAATTTAAAGGAGAAAGGAGATGTAAAGTACAGGGGGAGGAAAAAACAAGAGTGATTGGTGAAAACTGAATTTTCAGCACATCTCGGCAGCTGAACTCATTACTCTAAGTCCCTGTCAAGCTCAAAGGCACATTGTGGAGGGAGGCAACAGATACAAAGCTAAGACCTTCAAATTGTATCAAAGATGAAGGCAAGTGGGGGAGGAAGCTTTGAACAATAACATTTTACAGGCAGAAACAAGATGACATTCACAATCTTCTAAAGAAAAAAGACAAATCAGTACAACCTGAAAATGAGCCAAGATAATGGCCAAGTGCACAAAGGTTATTGTTCATAAGAGGAAAGTTTTCACATATAATCAAACCTTCTCATAACAAGTGTGGGCATTTTGTGATGCAGTAGTTATATACAAGACTGTAAAACCCAAATTAACAAGACAGTCTCAAATTATGATATTTGCCCCTCAACTGGTTGTTTCACGTAAAAAAAAAATAAAAAAAAATAAAAATCACTTCTCACAATAATCCCCAAGACTCGGTGATTATTTGCTTATTATGTGAAATAAATGCAGATTACAGAACAGAACAGTCATTCAAGAAGACAGCAAGTCAGAGTGTTGGAATGAATAATAAAACAAGGTCAGCGCAGACATTTTGGAATTTGGGAGGTAAAATGTTTATTATTGTGATGACACACGTCTGTAACATGTTATCTTGACTGTTAGCAGATAATCATACTGAGTTTTGAATTAGATTTGTATAATCAACACTGAATACAAAGCAAAGCTGAAGTGCTGGGGGAATTAACGAGATATTTATCAGTTGCTGCTGTGCTCATTTCAATGGCGTGAACTCCACATGCACTCTGATTAGAGCGCTCAGTACTTGACTATAACGTTTCATATAACATGTACCAATTATTTTTTTTTTTTCTTTACTGCGACAGCAGAGACGCATAAACACACATGATGAAGATGCATATAAAACCTTAGTTCTGCTTTTGGAATAGCCTTGGGTTCTTGTGGTATTGTGTATACTTGTGGTATTACTGCTGGACAGGAAGCTCCACCCAAATATAAAGGTTTTGCAAAAGAAAACACCCATAAATAATTATGAAAACACATATGTGCATGCATGTGTGTGTTCATACTGAAGACTTACAGAGACTGGAGCGAGTGAAGGTTTTTCAATGCTGCATTGGGGACAGATTTAAGTTGATTATTTTGCAGCATCCTGAAAGGAAAAAAACAACAACAAAACGACTCAAATGTCAGTCAAGGCCAGAACAATATTTTATTATTATAAATTTTAAGCAAGTTCACACAACAACACAGATTAGACCGGCCCTGTCACACATCTACATGTGTTAACCTGAAGTTCACACGCTTAGATGAAAGCTTAATCAATGAACACAGGCAGGTGCAATCCAATTCAGTTGGTGAAGAAAACAGGACTACGACTTATTTACTTGGCGCAAAATCAACAGAAAATACCCTTTGTGTATCTTTTAGGACAGACAATGTGTGCACAACTAGTCTGATGCAACCTGGATGATGAAGCACTAAAATTAAAGCAGTTCTTGTATTCACTGTTCCTGTTGGGTCTGTCTCATACAGATTTTGGACCGAGATGAACAAAACGCATGATATACCAAACTTCACCATTTACACTAAGCCTGTCATGCGGAAAACTTTGTATTGCCATATTTGTAAGTCTGTATGCAGATGCTTGTGTACATTGGCAGGGAGGATGCATGCTTACAGGACTTTGAGCTGATGCAGACCAGACAGGGCGTCAGGGTGGATGAATGTCAGGTCATTCCCAGCGAGTCGTCTGGATGAGATAATGAGTCAAAATTACATTTAATTATTAAGCTTGCACACATTTCAAAAACATTCACTATACTTTATTTATTTGTATTGAAACGGTAAAGCACAACAGAATTTTAAATCAATCACTGCTGTAGCTTTAAAAGCCCACACGCCCTGGGCAGCTTAGGTTCCACCTCTCAAGCTGATTATGGAGCTCAAGGTGACAAAGACATGTACCTTTGTCATGGCCTGTCGTCAGTTCTTCTATCGCCCAACGTAGATTATACCTGCCTATGGATAACTATTTCGTTAGATCCCCTTTTTTTAGTAACTGCAACTTCAATAGCAAGTAGTCCTTTCACAAAAACATTGAACAAAATAATTAATCCCTCTTAGGGTTACGCAACCTATATTCCCCTGGAACTGTTATTATCAAACAGCTGCTTCAGTGCGTGTCAAAATTATTTAAGAGAGAGGGGACACCTCCCTTTCCTGCTGGGAACAGGAAGTAAATAGGAAACCTGGGTGTAAATAAGCATGGGACAAGCTGACTGGGACATGAAGCCCAAGTACACTATCTTGCCTGAGAGATTAGCAGGAGATTTATCGCCATGCAACATGAGTCAGACCAGGCCGAGTTCCCAGCAACAAGAGCTGCTATGTGTGAGGCTGAGAACCAGAACTGGCTATGGTAGAGCACTAGTAGGTGTGAGAGATTACTCAACCCTGGCCTGGAGTTTGTTGAGAGTGCTACCTATCTATTCGTGGATATTCAAATGGGGAATATCCACTTTGGTTTAGCACCACAGGCAAATAAACTGTGAGACTGCATCCTTTGAGAAAGTGAGAGTGGTGGACGACTTTATACTTTATGAGGTCCTAAGACATGTTGCTTCACTCTATGCGATATATATAAAAACTAAGGGCTTGAAAAAAGCAAGAATGTGACTGATATCACAGGGAAGCAGAAATCTTAACATTTTTATTCCAGCAGCCCAAAGTCAAATCAAGTTGGGGTTGAAAAGAATGATCAAGTACAGTTGTCTTTTTGTTATTATATTAGTTAGTTTGTGGTTACTTTTAAGACATATTTAAAACAACAAGGTAGCATGCAATTATTTCACTCAAAACATGTATTTGCTTGTGTTCTTCTATTCTAATAAAACATTTGAGATGTTTTGCCATCTTGCTTTGTAGGTGGTAAATAAAATACAATAAAATTAACTAAAACAAAACAAATATAAAATAAAATAAAAATGGCATGCAAAATGGCTAGCGGGTCCCTCTTATGACATTGGCTTAACTCAGAATATCTGCACATCATTAGTAGGTGGAAATATAATTTAATCCCTCGTGTACTTTGCATTTGAGATATTTGTTATGAAAACAGTTGAGGTTTTTGAAAACCAACATGATGTAATCACATCTTAGTTACCAGTAGTCCCCGATAATTATTTGTTATTAATTTATCCTTACAGTCAGGTTATTAATTTAGATCATAAAATTCAAACTGCCAACACCAGGATATTAAAACACAGTGGCTGCTACTCCAAGTTAAAATGTATGAATGGTCAGTATCTTTGAAAAACATTTAGAAAAAAAATTAGATTCAAACCCAAATTTATCAAAACAATCTTCAAAGTGGCAGCAAAATGAACTAAGTTTTATTTGGTAACTGCAAATAAGAACAAACAGGATTTGACAAATGTTTCAGTTTGGCTACCGGTTTCACAACCGAAAGTGCTTCTCCACTTTAACCTTCCAGGTGATTTATCACCTGTTTGCTCCAGGGCTTTGACAGCTGTCACGAAGAAGAGGCACACTCTTCTAGTTGTGCAACACTTCTCCAACAAGTCTGCCTTACACTGTAAATTAAATGACAAAGTTGAAACTTTTTCTTTGGGACGTCATTATACATAAAAACCAAACTCCACTTCACACACACAAACTCTCGATACGTTTCTACACGTTCAAGGCAGTTTCTGTACCGCTGTTAAACAGGTGACACGATGATGATGAAGTGAACAGCATGACTTCAATTCTTATGTGCATTGTTGCCAAATGAACACATCTCATTTCAGATATGTACCTGCTCTGGTTTGAGTCAGTTTAATCTATATATGGTTTATAATGTTTCTTTACTACTTTCAAAAACATTCACAACTTCTCAACTTTTTCCACACTTTTATGTTATAAGATAAATTTACTTGAGTTTTACTTTATGGTGTAATTGTGAAGTAGAAGAAAAGCCATGGAAGGTTTTGAAAGTTTTGAGGTAAAAGAATTTAAAATAAATATTGTGTGCATTTGTACTGAACCCCTGGAGTCGATAGTTTAAATTCAATTACCTTTGCACTTGCAGAGACTGACATTTTTACCCATTCAATCAGAATTATGGCTGCATCTTTAGGTTCTTGCATTGGAAGAACGCCAGCCTCAACTTTAATTTTTCAACTGCTCAAACAGGTTTTTGTCTATATTTAGTTCCCTCCATATTCCCATCAGCTCAGACCAGCTTCAACGTCCCTTCTGAAGAGAATCATCGCAGCAGCATGATACTGCCATGACCATGTGTCTTAGTGGAGAAAAGTGTGTTTAGGGTTAAACTTTTGGTCTCACCTGTCTAGAACTCCTTCTTCCACATGTTACTTATGTCCCTTACATCTCAAACTGGATTTCTTCTGGTTGTCTTGGTGGTAAAATATTGTATTATACCAGAAAGTATTTAAAAAATCTTTGCCCATTATTGTTTAAACTCCTTGATTATGTGCCAATTTGGTTTGGAGTATCAGATAAAACCCCAACAAAATACATTAAAATTCTTAAATTGTAATGTGATAAAATCTATAGGTTCAAAGTTCAAGATATATGAAGACTTTTGAAAGGCCGCTCATGTAGATAATCCAATTAAAAAAAACTGTCAGTTTATGTTATATTTAAACAGAGCAAAATATGCTTCAGTACAATGAAAATGTACCCATATGAAACATTTTCTGGAATATAAAACATTTCAAATATAGCAAGAAAAATGCTAATCGTTGCAGATCACAATACATTACTAAAACTGCAGAATCACAAGCAGTCCAATGTTAAAAAAATATAATTTTATTTTTCTGATAATAAATGATGCCAGAGTGTATCACAGTATCATTTGCTAAGACTGGCACTTGTGAAATGAAGTTGTGATTGCTACATGGATAGGATTATCAATTGCAGGTTACCATTAAGAATATAAACAAACTGCAAAAGGAGACAGACAATATCTCTTGTCATCAAGTCTGTTGATCTTCTGGGCATTCAGCAAAAGAGGTTGCGTGACTAAGAAGGAGGATTTTTTTTTTTTCTCGCTTGCTTCCCTGTCTAAGGATGGCCTGCACTCTGTTTTCCCCCTCTTTCCCTGTCAGCTCACTCTGCTTTTGCCCTCAGGGCCCATGCTTCAGTTCATTGACAATGCTGGAGACCTTGAAGCGAAAAAGTCCTTCTCCAAAGTTCACAGACAAGACTTCTGATTTGTTCTCAAAGAAACAAAGGTTACCCAAACACACAAATTAACTAAGGGTTTACGTCAATCAAACACACCATCAGTTTTGATGAGTTAGGACAAGACACTCGTCATGGAGAGATCAGGCGAGTTTTTAAGTCCCGTTGCGATGGAAACCATTGTTTTGCCCTCTTCCTTCCTGCCTTGCATTCCTCTGCACAAAGCGATGAAAACTAAATTGCTTCTCAACAAAGAAAATTGGATTGGTGTAAGAAAAAGAAGCGGGTGAAGCTTCGGCCAGCTGAAAGATGCACAAGGGCTGAAAAAACATCTTAACAAAGGCCAAGTGGAGCAGGAACCTCTGGAGGATTTTAATTCATTGGTCATTTTGTCTTCAGAGGGCTGCATGTTACCTGATATCAGGCAGACTGATTTTTATCTTTGACTCACAGCAGAACTAAGCCAGACACTGAAGTATTTAAAGAGCAAAGAAAAAACATCCACCAAGATCAGATTTATGCCCATTCAACGAGGTCCATGCGCACAGATGTTTTTGTTTTTACCCTCATAATCCCTTAAAAGCAAAAATCCACATCGGATGTCACATGACTGTTGCTTCAATGCGTGTCACCTTGCAACGCCTTTTTAGCTGAGCTGCATGACATGCTTTATAACCTCCCTGGCTCAGTTCGTGAACGTTGAGTGATTTGTTGCCTCATTCCTGTTTTCCACACCTGAGAAGGAGGGGACGCTCTACACCGATGCCGTGCGTCCTGCAGTGTGAATTCAAATACCCAGGTGCGTTTCATAAAGAACAGCCCTCATGTCAACACTGTACAGAGTAAATACATCCTTAACACGAGAAAGAAGGGCATGTACTCACAGTTCTTCTAGGTAGGGGAACTTCTTGAATACATATGCTGGAAGCTCAGTGATGTTGTTCATACTCAGGTCACTGTGGAGAGAAAATACAAAAGCAGCACAATGACACATTAGCTTAGCCAGTCATTTGGTTTAAGATCTCAATGATGCTTCAAGACTGAGCTCATCAATGAGTTGTTTTACCTGTTAGTGATTAATAAATGCTTACTTTGATATTTTTACTCTTTTCTCATTTTGCAGTGTCCTAGTTTTCATTTTAGACATGGAATCAAGAAATATTTACCTTATGTAATTCTAAAACCAACATTGCTTACAGCTGTTTTACGTATCTGCATTAGTCTAAACGAATACCATGAAAAAAGCCCTTCTATTTAGCCCCAGGGATCTTCCTTTTTCAAATCAACAAGTAAAAACAGACATGTAGCTGCATGAAAAGTATGCATTCAGTACTTGACTTCCTTACTAAATCCACTGTAAGTTTGTGTTTTTAAATTTTTACAACAATTGTAAAAAAAAGTAAAATAAAATAAAAACTTCTAACAGGAATAACGTCTAATGGCACTAAAACAAAAGGATAAAAAACAGAAGTTTGCCATCATGCCTCCTGAGGCAGAGATGTAAACAATGAGGGCAAATTCATGTTTCATCTCGATAAGAATGAATTCCCTTACCTGGCCTAAAGAAAAGATCCCTAGATGACAACAT